GACTACTGCGCGAAGCTTTGCAACATCAATTAATTATATTAAGACGTTATTTTAATAGTAAGTCTGCTATAATATAGATAACCTAAAGTAACGAAGTAATAGAGAATTAAAACGCCAAAACGCTAGCTAAACCGCCCCTTAATCTTCTATCTCAATTCGGAAAAGTAAAACCGCAGCACTAGCTAGGATCCCCTGCCGCAACCCCTACCCAAGCTCTATACCCGAATAGGTATCAAAATCGCAACCGCAACCGCGCAACCGAACAGGCCCTTAGTCTTACTACAATCTGGACCGTCTAGTTCACGTAACGTGCTTTCATGTTTAGGCGATCGCGGCGGTACTTACACGTCTCGCACCAAGCTCGGGTCGCGTTACGTGGATAACTCGGAGAGATCTGGTATACCCTCTTGGAAAACTCAAGCCAAGCGACATCTTTTTCTCTCCCTTTTTCCTTGTTCTCTGTTTTCTCAAAAGGTATAGGAGGCCTGAAATTACGTGTACCAGGGTACGTGTTAGCCGTGTGTTGCACTCTTCGGCCCGGTTTTCGAGTGAGAAACGTGGTCAACTGTACCGAGCCATGCTGCGCAATATCTGCAAAATGGTTGACATGGTTATTTGTAAATGATTCATGCACCATGATCGATTCACGAATATCCCTGGTTTGACGCTGACCCTCTTGCTATCTCAAGTCTGGCAAGGGAGGAGAGAAGATATGACAAGGTTTGTGTGTGTGGCACAATCGCTTGCGGCGGATGATGTTTCGTTTCGAATATGATACTCTTTTCCTTTTTCCACTGTCAGAGCACGTAAGCCCAGGCTGCAAGGATTCCACTACCCCAGTCAACCCGGCAGTTGGCTGCTCACAGCCCAGGGCCTTGGCCGACTCGTCTGTAAGCAACCGATGATGCCCAGTATTTGTAATCAAAGAGACGTCATCCCGGACCATACGCTGCATTTCTGACAAGAGCCTTTTTTTTTCTTCCTTTACGGCACATACCAGGCAAAGTATGGCAGTCTACTAATGCACTGTTGATATGCATTCGACCCTTGCAAAGTTTAAAGCCAAATTGAACAAGACGGCGTCAAGGCTAATATCAATATATGGACCACCCAACAGCCTAATACCACAAGGTGCGTCTACAACGAGGGAATTTACAAGCTGGCAGAGGATTCCGCCTTGCATCTATTTACCTGGCAATTGCATACAATCCTGTATGCGTCTACTCATATACATATTACAGAAGAAATATACTTAGATGATATTCACTCAAGATTCATACGCACACTACATAGTTCTATCCACATTCCGCCACCATCCCACCTTACCCCTCTCCATTTCTTTAACACTCACCATCCCCCAGTCCCGCGCTCTCAACCTAACCAATAATGAAACGGAACATGATCTCCGGGATCCCACCAAGGTACATACGAGAAACTAAAGACGAATAGAGTGTTTTGCTCCCATTAGTTGCAGGTCGGTACATGTGCGGATATGCCGGACTGACTAGATTTTGCTAGAATCAAGACCCCATACGTTCTTGTGCAGATAAAGCATGATAGACAACAATATGGTTTAGATATCGTCATGGAGCTAGTACGATTTCGTGTAGAACGAACATGAAGAAGAATGCATGGCTCGCAAAAACTTCTCTTACTAACTCACATCTTTATACAGTGGACGTTTTTGGTTCGTGGGGACAACTTATTGACAATAATAAAACTCGTCATGGCTATAGAACAATCTGTTTGATGAGGTTATGCAGGAATGAAGATTTTCATGTTTTCGTTCTTCAAACTGGATTCTAGCTATAGCGTTGCGTGTTCGGAATAAGCATGATGCTTTGGAGACAGATTTTTTCTTCTCTTTCTTCCTGGTCGAGAAGATGCATGTGCGGTGTATGGGCGATAATAACACAACATGCGGCAGTGACCTGGCCTGTGAATATCTAAGGGTTATATTTGAGCGTTTCTCTGGTAGAATTTCTTTCAGATGGTGTTGCGGTGCGTTTTTGGTATTGTCTTTCAAGTGGATTTCATAAAGAAGTGTGGTTGGAGTTCAGGATACAAAGCTAACCTGACGCAGCGAATTAGTCGGAACACTTGACTGTTTGAAGAGAGGACTTGAAAAGACTTCAAATTAGCTATGAGTAAATGCAAATCTAAGTCTACCTACATATCGAACCAATACTATGAGAGCGTACTTTGGCTTCTCACCCTATCTCGTTTTATGACGCAATTGTCAGGACTATATCTCAGCTCACCAGAACATGACTTGTAATAGTTTAGAAGTACGCTGTATACAAAATTATTCAGCAAATTTCTTTGTTACCAAATGCTTTGGTTGCGCATCAATGCTGTTGTTCTGCAACTCGCAGATATCATCGCTAATTGGTTGACCCTGAACCCCAGCAATGAAAGAAAACCTAGTTCAGCTGAACTGACGGCGCATAAAATATCTATGTATAGCCACTGTAAGACACCTAGTGCCAGGCAACATGCCTGCAAATTGCAACTACGTCCGTGTACCACGACACCATTAGACAGTGACCTTTATATAGCTCGACCAGACCAAGTCGAAACCAGTTCAACCCGCCTTTAGCCGTGACAAGTATACGTAACCCACGAGAAAAGTTTTGATTTACTAGCGGAGACAGATTTACGTTACATTAGTGTAGCATCGTACGTGGTTTTGCGCAGTGGTCTGATACTCCACAAAAACGGAGAGACGAGCCCCAATGATCGACGCGGGACAGCAAGACGGGCTAGCTGGTTTGTTTTATGGAAACAGAATATTACATGCGGCTGGCTCTTGATCTGCGCATAAATGGCATGATTACAGCCTTGAGTCAGGCCAGGCTATAGCGCGCAAAGCTAACGCTTTGTCATTAGCTTGGAATGGAACAATCGTGCCATTTTGATTTCAACGTGTGCCGATGACGATATGCATAGCGTGATACATTAGTGTAGAGTCGGGAAAAGGTCTGTGCCCAGAGGGAGAGAGCCCAGGATATGGATGAAACTACCATGGTACCTAGGTACTTCCGTGTCTATTGCGTACATGTGTCACCTTCCTCAAAAAGATCAGGCTGCAGGTACTTGTAACACCCATGACCTTGTGTCAGCACGGTCATCGCTAATATCCGCAGCACAGCTCGAATTTTCTGCCTAGGCATCTTGGACGCTTTCTTAGTTCCAATTAAAGTTTGAGAATAGCCAGAGGCCATGCAAGTGATGCTGAATCAGAAGCAACAGCGGCAAATGGTGACAGGCCTTGCATAAACTTCAAGCTACGGTAGACGTGACAAAAAGCAAGTGACAAGGCACGAAGTGCATACCAAAAAAGGCTAAAAACCCTTAGTTGGTACGATCTACACAGGATAGACATGCATCACTTGACATGGCGGGGTTCTCGGAACTGTTCCGACCGCGGGCCGATGTGATCCCGGCGGTAGGCGCCGATGGCGTAAGAGCCATCAGCGACAACACATTACCAGCAAGAGCAACCTGGCCTTCAAACGCAACCATGTCTGGAGGCTGGAACACTATAGAGTCCGATGCTGTTAGTGCAGTTCCACCTGCACCAGAAAATCCTCTTCACCTACTGACGACTCGCGCAGGGCGTATTCACCTATCTGATTGAGAAGCTCGGTGTCAAGGACGTACAGTTCGAAGAGCTCACCACACTCGAAGCATCGGACCTGCAAAACCTCGGTACAATCTATGGAGTCATCTTCCTCTTCAAATACCCTACCGGCGAGAAGCCTAGCGATGTACCAAAGGACGGCACCTACGACTACGAGGCGGCGAGCTCCATCTTCTTCCCGGCGCAAACCATACAGAATGCCTGTGGAACACAGGCGATAGTATCGCTTCTGTTGAACAGAGAGGAGGAGATTGATATCGGCAAGGAACTGAGAGAGTTCAAGGAGTTTGCAGGTGACTTCCCACCAGACGTATGTTGAACCGACAATGATATTTCGCGACATATGCTGACCCGGGCAAAAGCTTCGTGGCGAGACTCTCTCCAACTCCGATCTTATCCGCGAAACACACAACTCATTCGCCCGCTCATCGCCCTTCATCGACGAGACGCAGCGAACAGCGACGGAAGACGACGATGTATTCCACTTCATCGCGTAAGCATTCCGCCCTTGTTCAAGCAAAAGAAGAAGAAGAAAAAACCTTCCTCCCCCCATCCACCCTCGAGCGCATAACTAATGCATGACTCTACCAGCTACACAAGCATAAACAACAAACTCTACGAACTCGACGGCCTCCAACCAGCGCCCATTTCCCATGGACCCTGCACTTCTTCAGAATTCCCCCAGAAGATCATCCCCGTACTCCAACGCCGCATCGCCCGCTACCCCGCCACCGAAATCCGCTTCAACCTCATGGCCTGCTGTCGCGACCTACGTATCCGCGCCCGAGAGATTGGCGACGAGGAAGAGTTGGAGGAGCAAGAAGATAAGCGCGCAAGGTGGTTGTGGGAGAACTCGCTGCGAAGGCATAACTTTGTGGGCTTTGTGGGCGAGCTGCTGAAGAGCGTTGTGAGGGCAAAGTTGGATCAAGGTGGCGATGCGTATGACAAGTGGGTTGAAGAGGCCAAGGGAAGGTCGGCCAAGAGGAGGGAGGACCTGAGGAAACAGGGTATTGCGGAGGATTGAGGGAAGTGAGAGGTGGCACTGTCGTTGTGTGGTGGTAATGCAAGTAGGATTGGGCCTTTTTTTTTTGCGTATGATGACGCTGCATGTACATGACTAAAGATATGTGCAGTAACTCTGATGATTGCCCAAATCTTCTATTTCGGATAGCAAGATACACCGATGAAATAGCATATGCAGAGAGTTATCTTCTTCTTACAAGACTGCAAGAACTCTTCACAACCCCGCTTAGAATATGTCATGGTGATTTCACTTCTAGCCTCTGGTAAAACCCACACGTTTCCACAAACACAGCAAGATTCAAGGTAGAGGAGCGAGAGAAAAAAGCAATTATAATGATGAGATAACAATTGGTATTCAGGATCATACCAAGTCCTTCAAGGTCTGTCATCTACTAAATACCTTCATCCCTCATCCCTCCTCATGGTCCGACAACAATAGACACACCAATTAAAACAAACTAATAACCAAGACAACTCCAGCCAGCTCCTACAAACGCCATTTTTCGCTATGCTAGCTCGATAGCCTGGGGGGAGGGATATATACGCTTCGCTACATTACTTCATAAACGTGGTACGATATGGTATTGGAAAATGCCATGAGATGGTGAGAGAGAAAATGGAAAACGGGAGAAAAAAAAGAAGAAGAACAAAGGAAAGATGAGCTCATGTCTGTGTCGAAACAAGACATTTACAGCTTGCTTACTGCGCAGTAGGCGGGGGGAGCCTGGAGGACAGCAGGCTCCATGGCACATGAAGGGCCTTCAGACAGAACGTAGTCGGTGGTGGGGGTGTCCTGAGTGACGGGTGCAGCCTCCTCCACAGTCTCGACAGACTCCACAAACTCGATAGACTCCACAAGCTCCATTGCACGGCTTGTAGGCTGTGCGTCCTCAACTTCCAGAACTGCTTCGGCAACGACATGTTCAACCTTCTCCTCAATCTCAGGTACAGCTGCAGGCACAGGTACAGGCGCAGCAGTCTCCATCATGCTGATCACAGTCTGAGACTCGGTGACGGTGAGAGTAGAGTAAGACGTAGCTGTCATGGTCGCAGTAACAGCAGTCGGCATTGGAGCGGCCATGACAACGTCGGTGGGCAGCTGGAGCATGTGTGCAGCTGAAGAATCTTGTTGAATCGCATGCATGCTCATGGCCAAGTACACAACGGCAGCACCAAGCAGAACAATGATCATGTTACGCTTGTCACCCAGCAGAACAAGAGCATAGTTCTTGAGAAGGGTACTGAGTGGGACTTCTGACGATGAACGTGAACGGGCAGCTTCTTGGAGTGCAGCCTCAGCCCTTTCTTTCTCCTTGACAGCATTCTCCAGGGCACGGAGACGGTCAGCGACGGCATCCGACTCAGCGAGAGCCTTAGCCTCCAACTCCAGACGCACAGCTTCTTTGGCTTCCTCCAACTTAGCCCGGAGGTCTTCCTCAAACTTCTTCTTCTCTGCAGCCTTTTCTTCGATACTTCGTCGTAGCGCTGCAGCAGCCTCCTCGAAACTCTTTTGCAATTCAGCCTCTTCCTTGCGCTTCTTCTCGTTGGCTTCCTCTTCCAGGATCTTCGCCTTGGCAGCGGCTTCCTGTATTTGCCGTTGAAGCTCTACAGTGTATTGCTGCTTGCGCTGGTCTGCCTCAAGTTCCTCGCGTGCTCGCTTCTCTAACGTCTTGCGAACTTCCTCTGGAATCCAGGGGTGGATCTCAACGTCGCAACGTTCCATGTCGTTCCAGCACGCACCCCACGCCGCGGAACGCATCAGTCCGTTGGCGGCGTAAATCTTGATGTCCCACTTCCTTGTGCCTGCACCGATGCCCTTGCCTGGCTTCTTGAGTTGGCGGTGGCAGTCAATGCACATGCTGTGGTCGCCGTTGGCAGACGTGCTGCCCTCGGTAAGTGTTCCTCCACTCATCCGGCTGCCCCGTCCGGTATTCTCGTCACCAATGCTGGCTGTGTCATCGTCATCCTCCCGGTCATCGTCGTCTTCGGGTGGTACAAAGTGTCCACATGGAAGTAGTCGGGGCGTCTTGAGCTCAAGGCTCTCCAGAATGCGTTCCTCGAGCAAGTCGTACTCGTCTCTTGGATGCGGAATGAGAAGACCACGGCGCATCAGGATGATGTCCTGCAGCTTCTCCTCTAGCAGCTTGTAGTTCTCGACCAGCCAGTCGGGCATGATCCTTGCCATGATGTCGTGCGAGTAGGGTAGCTGCATCGGCAGGATGGTGACGTGCAGCAGAACCAGCGGAGCCTGCTGTGGAACCGGCATGGGTCTCGGACTGTGAGGTTCGCGTATGCTTCTCCTCCTCGAGCCAGAATGCCTTGAGCCTGGCGTCTCGGCTCCCGCGTTTCGGTTTGGCGTAGTCAACTTGTACGAGGCCTTTAACCGCTCGTGGGAAGACTGGTGCGCTAGCAGAGGCGGAGGCGAGGACATCTGCATGGCGCGTACAGAGTCTGAGTTGCGGAAGCGAGGGCGCTCCTTACGAGCTCGTGCGCCAGCTTCATTCGCTGGCAAGATGGGCTTTGAGGATATCGAGGTTTCCGAGGGAATAGCCGAGACGAAGCTGTAGTGCGACGACATCCGTTGCTGCGAGCCGGGCCGAGATGTGTAGGAGCTTCGGTAGGGCTGGGGCTCGTCGTCGGGTTCCTGGGACTGCTGCTGCTGCTGGAGCTCGATGGTGTGGACGACGTCGTTGGGGAATGAGCGTTCAGAGTGAAAAGAGTCGCCTTCTTCATACATGTCCGAAGGCGACAAGGGTTCGCGATCCTGTGGGTCCTCGTAGACGGCAAAAGAGGTAAGACCTGCCGGCGGCTGGGGGGCGGGGTGGTGCATGGTAGTCATAGCGGCGGGCCTCTGCTCAGTTGCTCGTACGACGGTCGTGGAAGCGGATGCAGTAGCAGGCTCAGCAGTACCGTGGGAGTGAAGAGATGGGAGAGGGGAGAGAGGGGGAGAGGGGCACTGGCGGTGTTGGCTACGAGAAGGATGCGAGGCAACGGGCCAGGGATGCCATTGTGAATTTCACAGAGGTGGTCGTCTTGGTGCGTGGTCACCCGCCCGCGTCTATCTGGCGAGGTTGGGACACTAGTGGGATGCGCTGGCGACGTGTCAGAAGAGTGCTGGTGATTGTTTACCTCACCGACACTTTTGGCGGGGCGTTCGCTGTGCGCGTAACCGGATGTGTACGGTACCGGCACGTAGCCTCTTGTCAGCCCCATCCTTTCCCTGCCACTCTGCAACGGCTTCATGCTTCCCACTGGCCCGCCCGCTGCATCCTCTCCAGTGTACCCATCTGTTTGCTGGTCACGCACATGAACGATTGGCCTTTGACAGCGTGCAGCCGCTTCCAATATGCACGTCTACAGCCTCACCTTGTATGCCATGAACCTCTGTACCCGCGCCTGGCGATGGCCTTGTACATACAAGTACTGCTAAATACTCCTCTATCGGCCCGTGCGGGATAAACCCCGAAATGCACTCGTCACGTGATGTGCTCAATCATCTAGTACCGTGGTCGCACACCGTAAGGTGAAACTCGTCAAATTCCTTTTCCCTGCATCTCCTCTGGTAAGTGGTCTGGATGCTCACCATGCCACAACCTAGTACACCGCTCGACTGATCACGCACGCATGCTACGTATACTATCAACACAACAAGCCCGACCTTTGACACGGGAATGCATGATTTGTATAGCCTAAATGCTGCAGTAGACAACAGGGCAAGATGTACAACTAGTAGCAAACAACAAGTGACCCCTCGCACAGTACAAAGCTCCTCAAAGTGAACATCATCATCTTCTCTTGTTACTCATATACTACACATGCGTTGTAAACAAATCTCTTCTTCTATTTCGGTCTCATCCAAGAAACTGCCTATACACATTCCTCTACAACTCGTCCTTCTCCTTATTCTGCTCTATCGCCTGGTTGAGCGCTGCGAGAATCTCCTCTTGTGTTGCGTCTTCGGGGACCTTCAATTGCTTCAGGATGCTCCCCTTGTCGCCTTTGCCTCCAAAGTTCTTGAGCTTGATCCCATCGGCATCTACACCCGCCTTCTTGAGAGCCTCCTGTAGCTCCTCGTCACTCGTGCCCTTGTCTTCCTTCTCAGTCTCCTTGCTATCACCCTTGGCCTTATTGGCCTTCTTAGACTTGCCACTCTTAGCCTTGGGCTTGGTAGTCTTGGGCTTTTGCTGGTTCGGCGGCTTGAAGTGCTTCATCTTCTTCATCATCATATCCATGATTATATCGTCCATCTTTTTCTTCTCAGCCTGAACCTCCTTGACTGTGAACGCAGGGTCGTCAGTCTCGCCAAGCTTGCTCTGCTTTGCCTCGTTCTCCTCGAGCCAGGCTTGGGCCTTGGATGCAGCATCCTGCACAGCCTTTAGGTCGGACTCCGTGTAGATGGTAGGTACTTCGGTGATTTCAGGAGCAGCCGGTGTCTTTTCATCGTCAAGCTCGTCCATAGGGTCCGTGGATGGAGATGCAGATGCTTGAGCCACAGCCTCGCTACTCTTAGAGCTCTCCGCTATCTGTGTCTTAATCTGCCCGTCAACAAGCTGCACAACCTCCTTGATGTGATCAATGGTATCTTTGAGCTCCTTGAGGGCCTCCGGGCGCTTGGATGCTTCCGTCTTGCGGTTGAGAACGGGCTTAACGAGGTCCTCAAGCTCCTTGAGCTTGCTTCGGAGCGTTTGCTCATCCGCGTCTGCACCTTCCGCGTAGAGCCAGTCCGAGGTGGTACCAAGTTTCTCCTCGAGAGTAGAGCGAACCACCGGAGTTGAAGCACTAATAAACGACTCATCTTCTAGGTAGTCACGTGCGCGGTATGTGAAGGCTTCCAGTGAGTTAAGAACTTCTTCACGAGCACGACGGGCCTTGTCTGACGCATCAAAAGCAGCGAGCCTGTTTCTTGTTAGTTATCTGGAAAATCGAATAAAGTGCAACTAGCAAAGATGGATTTTACCTCTCTTGCATCCTTTTAAATTCCTTGCGAGGAATCTTCTTGTAACCTAGCTCCACAACATCAAAAGTATGAGCGGACTTAACGACCTTGATCTTCTTCTCAGTAGCTTTGGCGTCATCAGTGCTCTCGGCACCGGCAGATGACGACGAGGAAGAAGAGGAAGAAGAGGCAGAAGACGATTTAGAAGCGGATGATGAAGAACTTTCGTCTTCTTTCAAGGCTTCCTGGTCCTTCTTGCCACCCATGCCGAACAAGTTCTTCACACCATCAACGATACCAGCCTTGGGCTCTTCAGACTCGCTTTCGCAAGTGACCCAAGCAGAGAGAACTTCAGGGGTACCAGTGATGGGGCTAAGTCTGACCTTGACGTAATTGTTGAAGCTTTCGCGATCACACTTGTCATCATCAATCATCTTGGTGATAACTCTAGTCAAGTTACCACTCTTGAAGTGAAGAGTAGGCTCTTTTGAGATGGCACCCTTGGCTCCAGGCACAGCTTGGTACATGGAAAACTCGAACTCGCCCATCATTTGGAAAGGGAGATCCTTGACCATGCCGATTTTGGTGTTGGGGGTGAAGATTTTCTGGTCGCGATCCTTGAGGTCAAACATGTACTTGTAACCGTGGTTGTAGCCCTGAGTATCCAACTCGCGAATCTCCTTGACACGGAAAGAGGGACTCAGGCTAGCAGCCTTGAAGGCAGCACCGAAAACAGCGGCTTCATCAGAGTTAACGTTAGCCCTGATCTTGCCCTTTCCAGCAATTGCCTCAAGACGAGCCTGAACAAAGGGAGTACGGCTTGCACCACCATGAACAATAACAGAGTCAATATCAGCCAGAGTAAGACCAGCAGCTTCAAGAGCTCGGTTGATGGGACCATCAACACGTTCAGCATAGGCTGCTGCAAGCTCCTCAAACTTGGAACGAGTGAGCTTGTACCTGAAGTCAACGTCCTCGTAAAAGCTTTCGAAGAAAGCAGATGTGTCCTTGTTGGCGCTAAGCATCTGGCGAATCTTCTCTGCCTCCTTGAAAAGTTTAGCGGCAGTACGTCCGTGAGTCTTAACCTGCTCAGCCGTGAAAGATGCGCTCTTGGCTGCGGGAAGCTCGATGAATGTAGAAACCATATCATCAACGATTAGCGAGTTCAATGCATCGCCTCCAAGCGTCCTGTCCCATCCGGTGCCCATGACTTGAACTTCCTGGATAGTCTTGGTGCGCTTGCCTACATCCTTGACCGAACGGCCCTGGAACTTGACAATTGTGGCAGACGCTGAACCAGCGCCCATGTCAAATACCATGTTGATTTCTGGCTTGCCATCTTTGGTGATATCTGGGAACGTCCTACTGGTGGCATAGTTGAGACCAACAGCTAAACCATCGGAAATAACGCTGAGAACCTTGAGGCCTGCCAGCCGTGATGCGACCTCTAGTGCGCGCCTTTCGGATACAGTGTAGAAGGCTGGGACGGTAAAAACAACCTCTTGGACATCGTAGCCCTTGCCTGCCAGCGCCTTTGCGTTCTCTCTAACATTTTTTAGTTCCATAGCCAATAGCTCCTCAACCGTGTATGATTTATCCTCGCTGAACACCTGACTCTCAAAGCTGACTGTTGGGCGTCCCGTTGTGGCAGTAACCTCGAGGGCTGGATACCTCTCCTTATACGTGGCGACCGCATCGTCCTCACTCGAGATGCCTAGAAGGTGCTTCAGGTTAGGGTACACATCGCCAGGGAACCGTGCCTGTAGCGCAATTGCATCGCCACCATAGAAGCGTTCGGGATAAGAGCCTGCGGGGAGGGCACCGCCTTTGGATGGCTTGAAGGCAATGGCTGCAGTCTCCTTGCGCTTCGAGTCTTTGGTGAGAACAATCTCAAGAGGGTTTCCGGGCTTCACAAGTGCAGCCTTGATGTATTCAGTACCGAGATCAACACCGATGATAGCTGACGCAGCGGAGGCGGTCGACGAGAAGAGGAATGCGAGACCGAGGAGGACAGTTGCGGGCGAGAGATGGCCTCTCCGGCGTCCGGGTGGCGCCATGTTGTGTGAGGAAAGAGGCAATGTGTCGCTAACCGCAGGCGCGGGACACTTGTAGTGGGATGTGCGGGCTCCGCAGGGCACAAGTAGGGTATATAGCGTTCAAGAACAGACGAGGACGTGGAAGAGAGGAGAAGAGTAAGGAAAGAAAGGGAACCTATCCCAGTAAAAAGCGGTGAGTAAGGTGGTGGTCGGGATCGTGATTGACAAAACGTGGAAACGTGGAATGGTGGTGGTTTCGTAGTAAAATGCAGCCAAGAGTTACCCTGTTCTGACACTATTTGACACCTGGTCTTTCTCAAGAGGCCAGCTTGACTTTTGAGCACCAACCCACATCACAAATTAAACAGCCATCACAAGCAAGGCTAATTTAATGGCTGTCTGAATCATTTCGTAAAAAGACATATCTGGTCTTATCTCTGTCTACATGATCGAGCACTCGATGTGGCGGCTCTCGAGATCCTGTGCTTACTCCAGTTAAGCCAATCACATCGCCAGGAAGCATGTCTTCGCCGCATTGCATACCAGCGACGCTGTTGAGTTCGCGATCTGGAGCTGCACTCTGTTTTCAGTTGTGCTCTACACAAGCATGCATTGAATGACTTGCATCAGTGCCTAAACGTCATGGACCCGGTCGAGCAAAGATGATAGCGTGTCCTTTCGTCGGTGGGTGCCGGTCCATCATATCCCACGGTTAAACTCCACTAATCCATCCTTGCCGCCTCGCTCATGAAACTCAGGCTCCAAAGATTTTGCGCTAACGGCCTGGCGTTGTGGAAATGCAGCGAGCGCAAGCGGGAGTGCAAAGATGGAAGTGGTAAAAATAAGGCCTGTTCGCGCTTTAGCGGG